TTAAATTTCAATTTATAATTGTCATTTGGGGTTATTTAAAAAATATGTATTGTAGCGTGGTGCCGACGGAGATGGGGGATGTGTGATGCAAATACTTTCCTCTGCTCTTTATCTATGCTATGACTTCCTCCTCTGATCTGGCAGCCTGGGGCCCTTCACCATGGACCCTGCGTTGTACCTCATCAATCTCAAGTTGTGACAGCAATTGCCGTTTGTGGATGTTGGAACACTGAGCTACTAGTTGTTTCGTGGTCAACCGTGACTGTGGGTTTCGAAGTAACCATTCAGCCCGCATTCTCTGCATGTAACCCCTCTGGCTATTGCTTGAGTAGTAGCATTCCAACAGAGCCATGTTATCGCATCTCGCCCATCTCCGCTTTGTGTGTGTGTGTGTGTGTGTGTGTGTGTGTGTGTGTGTGTGTGTGTGTATATATATATATAGGTTGTCATCGGAGAGATAATCGCCGCCGACAGCATCGCAGAGGTTCGGCCACCTGAGTTGTCTCCATTCTTCTTCTTCTCTGAGGTGTTTAACGGTGGCTGGCAAACTTACAGAGTATCTTCCTTTCCTACTAGTGGCAGAAAGGGGAACGACAGAACTGTACAGTCTGAAAATAATAAGCAATTTATGAACATCAGGCAGCCTTTGTTGCTATCTATGAATGTTTTTTTTTTCAGTGGGCTGTTTGCAACATGGGAATCTCCGGTATATAAATAGTCTTCTCGCCTGCGCGGATGTCATCTCCTTCCAGGTCAGGTCCTTTACCACAGGCCCGGGAGTTTGAGCTTTCTGTGCAGGATCTTAGCTGTGGTCTGTTCGGCTGACGTCATTATTGAGCCAGTGTTCTTCCACACACATCCAGGTACATACAAACATGTAACTCAGACTATGTGACTTCAAGTGTGTTTTATTAATAGCATTAGCTCATTTCATGTACATTACAGATAGATGATAGAAAATAACCCAGAAACAGAAGAGACCATTCGTTCTGCTCTCTAGTGAAAGTGCCTGCAATTAATTCTGTGCTATATATTTGTTACTCATCTTCATCACAACCATTTGTCACCACAAATATTCCAAATACTCACCGTAATATAAAAAATGGGTGTCCACGTATAACATGAATTGGTGCAATGGGAATTTATTTAAGCTCCTCCTTTAGGACGACTGCTTTGTGATGTGGCCCCAACGGGATTATTATGGCTTGATTGTCTTCATCTAAATCTTCATCATTGTATTTTGACATTGCGTTGTCACAAGCACACTGCTCTGCTTATCCGTCATTAGTTCTGCCACCCCAAAAATCATACACCTGAATGAATCCTCTCAAAATGTCGTGACTTTGATTTCAAAGTGCCTTGAGATAAATTGTCACAATTGTGCACAATAACGTAGCAAAGTTTTATTCCTTTAGTTTCACATCCTTACCGTCAGTCAGGGGTCGGATGGATCTTTCTGTTCTTAATTATTTATATTATCAAGACTTTTGGCATCATTCTCCACTTCCTACCTTGTGGGAATAGTTTGCGGAAGGCCCCTTGTATTCCAGCATGTCTTTTCCCCACCGCATAAAGCAGCTTGAATGAGTTTGGGGTGGAAGAACTTCAACCCAGCAATCTATTTCCACAGATGCATTGCTAAAGCGTCTTGACTGAGAGCGGAAACTACGATATCTGCAAAACGGGAAAGAAGTCATTATCTTGTCCTATTAGGCGTATATTCACTTCTTTGATATGGCAACACCTCCCGCGCTGGAGTTGTAGTTTCATTTCTGCTCATGTTGCCACGGGTTTAAAGAAACAAGAAAGAAAAGTAGCAGTCACAACACAGATGCAGTCCCACGTTTCACACAGAAAACGTGCACAGAGAACACGCGATATCATCCTGAGTTTGGAGGCCAAAGCCCTAAAGTTTGCACTCCTGGATAACTGACATCTGTCCTGCTGGCAAAATGGAATGGTGCTCGGAGAGCCGAGCAGTCGTATAGGAAGGGAATGATGGCTTAGCCCTGGTCCGACCGGAGGAACCGCATGAAGCGAATGCTTTGGGTTGATGATGTGGCTTCTCCTTTCCCCCGTTTCCGAAATCGCCTTGGGCATTGTTGCATCCGGGTGCTGTCACAACTCGCCTTTTTTATGATGGAAATACAGATTGTGCAAAAGTCTTCGGCCCTCACTAGTTTTGTTGTTTTTACCTTTTTTTTCCTCAACGGTCATTTTGAGACATTGTAAAACAGTAAGTGGTCGGACAGATACCGCTACCACAAAAACACATTTGCTGGAGGAAAGGAAGAAAATGTCACATTTTGGTGAGAATCGGGGTAGAAGTGCAGGTACAACCTTTGATTTTCAGTGTTTGCCCCCCTCCCCCCCTCCACACCCTAACAATTTTAACAACCTCCATGAATGACTTTTGTCTGGCCCTGGCAGAGATCTGCACTCTTCTGAGGTACGCTGGCTGCTAAAACAACACAAGATCAAGTGGCCGAGGACTTCCCAACTGTAATATACTCTTTGCGATGTAAGACATACAGTGAATGACCCATCAGAGGGGGTGAGCGATGCCCTCTGACTTACAAATCTCTGCTCTGAAAGTCCTTCTGTCACCCGCACTTTTACAAAAATAGACTCTTTTCATAAAATACTACACAATTAAAATTTTTCTGCGATAGAATCATTTGTTAGGGGTATATAAGTCTGCGTTATCTCAAAGAAAACAGCAATGTAAGCCAATAGCACCGTCTTTCTCAGGTACCACTGCCATCCGTTATTGGGGTTTGTGACTCCTGAGTTTGTGTCCTTGACTTGACAAGTGGTTGGAGCGGCTGAGACATGGCTCCCGGAGATCCTGCCCACCACCAATAATCACCCATCTCACATATCTTCGACCCACACACTCATGTATGTGATCCATTTCACAAGCTTCGCAAAAGCAAACAAAGAAACACACACACACACACACACACACACACACACACACACACACACACACACACACACACACACGATGACAGAGAATGTCATCAATAAAAACAAATGCTACAAAGAATTACAAACACTATGTACATGACCCTGTGTTCCAGCATTTTCCCAGCCATAGTGGCCAGTGTTGGCTTAAGTTACGTGTTTACAGGCATGGCGTAAAACAGTTGCTCTTTTTTTCCCCCATTTGTTATTCAGTGTGACAAAACAATCCGTGCATCGTTTGTTCTTCCCACTTCTTGTTTGGCAATTGAAAAAAACAAAAAAAAGTGCCTGGTTATTATTATTATTATTTTTTTTACTCAATTCAATGCTAAAAAAATACAACATTTAAAAGCGAGTTAACGTAAGATTGGTAAGGACCATTAGAACAACCATGTTAGCTGTCATTGTCCCCACAATCAGTCCGGACGAGACATTAAATGATCTAACAGCCATATGAGATCATCAACACATTTTGAAAGGATTATTGTCTTTGGCATCATGTTTGCTTCGTTTGTCACTGCATAATGGTTGAAAGAAGAATAAAAATAAGCACTGATGAAACGATTTGTCCCAATTCTACTCGTCTATCTGTTCGTGTGGACATGAATGAGTTGAAAACGATTTGATTGGAAAGACAGAGATGGCTGAAAGCAATTGTTCGGTCTGCCTTCTTCAGAGTCACAGGGTGATTTTGATTAGGGTCCACACAGTCAGATTCTAAGATCCACGGATATGTTTAGAGGATTTCGTCGTATTTCATCCGTAAATATAAAAATGCTGTGTATCAAACCCTCTGAATCAATGTAGAAATCAATTTATTGAATTATTATTATTATTATCGTTTATATTTTTAAAATCACCCTCTTTGACCATGGGACAGCTATGTGGGTGGGGTTCACATGCAGACAGGAATGATCAGGTTGGAAGGTATCCAAGTGCCTACTTCAGAGCGATGATCTGTGATCGCACTGGCTAATTTGATATCCACCAATGGAGATCTCCTTGCAGTTCTTTATAAACGCACTTTGTGTGCTTTGAGCCTCTGCTAGTCACCGCCTGCTTCCGCAATGACTGTGTGCCTCTCACGTGCTGCACTTAAAGGGCATGAGTTGCTTCCATTGGCCGGGGAATCGATTCGGCTGTGTTCACGTGCACAAAAGGCGCAAGAGGCAATTTCAAATTGCGCTCATCTGTGAAAATACCAAAATAAAATAAAGTCCACCCGTGTGCTTTGTACTGGACTTGCACACTGGGCACAATGGCAGAGCCTGAAGGATGACTATGTTACTGCACTTAAATGTGAGTCGTGATGGTAATTCTTGGAAAGCCAAGTATATTTTTAGGTGGGGAGGGCCCGGTCCGTTTTAAAATATGGCTTATGCATTATTTGAAGAATCATAGTCGTTGGAGTCCTAACTAATTATGGCAGTGAACAAGCTAAGCTATCTTTGCTTCTTTATGCTTGCTATTAAACTTCCGGATCACATCAAGATCCATCCATCCATTTTTTGATCCGCTTTATCCTCACAAGGGTCACAGGTGGTGCTGGAGCCTCTCCCAGCCATCTTCAGGGAGTAGGCAGGGGACACCCTGAACCTGTTGCCAGCCAATCGCAGGGCACACAGAGACGAACAACCATCCGCGCTCACACTCACAGTGAGGGATAATTGAGAAAGTTGAATCAGCCTGCCATGCATGTTTTTGGAATGTGGGAGGAAACCGGAGTACCTGGAGAAAACCCACGCAGGCACGGTGAGAACATGCAAATACAACACAGGGAGGCCAGATCCGGGATCGAACGCTGCACCTCTGCACTGTGAAGCCCACGCGCTAACCACTCGCCCAGCGGGCCGCCAAAATCAAGATGAGAAATCAAATATAAAAATCCAATCAAATCCCCTGGCCAATTTTTCCATTTTGTAAATTTGATTTGGGCTTGAATTGAGATGTGAAATATCTGACATTTCATTTTTTGTTTCATTTAAAAAACAAAACAAAAAACAAGGAACCAAACAGTCTTTTTTTTTCTCCCCCAATTGCCAATTAAAAACGGAAAGGACGAATGATACACAGATTGCAAAAGCAATGCCACCCTGTCTCCTGGATTAGTATGTCCTATGTTGCGGTGAGGGCTGTGTGTCACCAGATGACGCTGGATATACTGGTCTCTCGGGGCAGAAGCGGCAGCATGGCATTGTTGCCGTGGCCTTCCTCTAAACTCTGCTGTCGCGGCGACTTGGACTGAGGCCGCTGTCCATTCAGGAGTGTCATGGGGATGTTGCAGTACGTGTGCTGGTTTCGGCTGGAGGACAAGTGTGGCAGAGTGCCCCTCTGTGGCAGCTCATAGTCGTAACTACGGTAGTATTGTTTCTGTCTCATCTGGGTGTGGTACGAGTTGTGGAAGTTGGAACGCAAGTCTGGGTGCGTCGTCGCCATGGCGGTGGAGGTGGCGGCCGCCATGGACATCGCCGATACCGCCTGGAGCTCGCCAAAGGGCCCTTGCTCACTCACATCCAGCACTTGCTCGTGGGAGATGCTCAGGGGCTCGGTGCGCTTGAAGGGCATCTCGTAGACGAGCTGCTTCCAGAACTTGGAGTCCAGCTTGTTGCTGGCCGCGCCGTGCCATTTGATGACGGTCAACGTCTTAATGGTGTGTTTGAGGGCCTCCACCTCCTGGTAGTTCATGATGCCGCGCAGCTCGGCGCACTCAATAAGGATGACCTTGATCTCGCCCGTCACCAGCATATTACGAAGACGTGTCTCCAGCTCAAAGATGCTCCACCCCCTCCGCACCACGTAGCTGGGCGTCAAAACGATGATGAGGCGCTTGCTCTGGTCCACACAGCGTGCAACGTCCTCGATGTAAGCTAAAAGCACATGTACAAAAACCACACGGGCGATCACTTTCTGTAAGCCAGAGCTGCTTTGGCAATGCTATTTGCATGATTCATTTTTGTTGGCGTGCTAACAACCTCCACTGCTTTCTTTCAAAAGAGTCTTCATGGCTTTTGGGGACGCGGATAAAATCCTATTGTTTACACCCAGTTTGAGAAGATTGTTGCAAAGAATTACACATCCAAACCTAGCACAGGGGGGTTCAATTGATTCCTGACAATAAAGCTCAAACATTAAGATGAGCAAGCCAACAGGGATTTTTCAGCATATCTCCTAAAAATAAAACATGTTAAGTTTGATCCATCTTGAAACCTTAAACCCTTGTCTGATTTGTGTTTTCACATTGATGTGTGTCAGTGCACTACAGTGTGTCACTGCATCGGCCGCTAAGTGACACTGAAGCAGTGTGACACGAACACAGAATCACGCACGTTTTAACAGACAAAAGAAACATGACACAGTCAAGGACAACATCCATTACTTTCTTCTTGGCATGTCGGATTACAAGGCAAACTTTGTTTGCGGAAAAAAAAAGGCTTTTGCATGAAAATTCTCTCCACAGGTGTCAAACTCAAGGCCCGGGGGCTGCCACATCATCATGTGGCCCGCAAAAGCAGCTCAAACATATCAACTTCCATGATGCCTTCTAAAATGTCGGCCAAAATTGTAAATTTTCATACGTAATAAATAAGAGATATCTTCTAAGCATTTTCTTGTTTCCAAACCCCTCATGATAGTAACTTAAACAATAGTTGAATCAACAGCTGACTTCTTTACATGGTTTCAGTCAGAACGGCCCTCCAAGTTAAACGGTAACTAAAATGTGGCCCGTGCCATAAATGTGTTTGACATCCCTTGCTTTCGGCTGGGACCTAAAAGCTAGCACAACTTTGAAAAATGAAACACAACATATTTGTTTACTGTACAGAACGGAATCCAAACCAAGCAACTTGCGGAAATGGTTTTGATTTTTTTTTCTGTTGGATAATAAATTGGCATGCTCGTAGTTGCTGGCCAATTCCCGCTTCTCACCTGTTGCAATTCTGTCTCACCTTCAACTGCTCTTCGGGCAGATCAGCAAATGTGAGTGTGTGTTTCTTTTTACTAATTTGTCAATGCCCTTGAAAGCTTCTGATTTATTGGGTGCGCCAGAGAAGTCGGCGGGGGCAGTGTCACAAAAGACGGATTTCCCATCCAAACTACAAACTAAACGTTTCCCCTTCAAAGTAATCCTCTTGGAGTCAAACATTTCTCTGCCATGCCTTTGGGCACTCCTGGAGGGATTCTTTCAAGATCCTCCTCAGCATTATCATCACGGTCATCTCGGTGTTGTCCACGCCTTCAAAACCTTGATGACGACCTTGAGTTTGGGAAAGATGAAAAAAGATCACACAAGGCCAGGTGAGGTTCCTCCGGCACGGAGGAATGCTGTCAGATGCTCAGCGTGTTGCGAGCAGCCACGCTGTCATGGTGAAGCAGTGCCGAGTTGTCCTGCAAAAGCCCTCGCCTCATTTCGAGTACTCAACAAAGCAAAGGCCACAGAGCTCTTTGTAGACGTGCGCTGCTTGATCAGGCCCACATTGAAAGGGACAACATAGTTTGGATTTCAAATATGTTGTTTGTGACACTGGTCCTGGAACTTTTCTGACAGACATCATTGAGCAAATCATTCAGAGCTCAATGAATTTTCCCTTTTCCCTTAAATAGGAGCCAACCAAAGACATTCGTGCATCTTTTTTTTTGACTGATGGCCGTACAAACTTCACGTTAAAATGCGCGCTGCGGTGATGCATTGACACATTTGGATGTTTGGTATTTGCATTCTTCCTTAAAGGTTTAACCTATAATTGTCAGGTGTAAAGTAATGAAGTAGAAAGACTTAGCTACCTTAAGTAGAAATTTGGAGATCGACACTCTACTGAAGTAGTTATTTTTCATTCTACTTTTTATTTCTTGCAATTTATCGCAAAGATCTGTACTTTGAGGTCCTTACAAAAAAAAAAAAAAACCTTGATACTATTTCATTTAGGATTGTGTTCGTTGCAGTTTATCATTGTTCAAAACACCAATCCGACATTGGTGAGGCGAATTTGATTGTGGTTGGATGAGAACTATAAACAGGAACAGGTACCATTCTGACACTCTCTTGGTTTGTCAGCGATGCCATTGCACCTGCACATGACACAAATCAACAAATCATCCATCGACAACTCGCCACACTCAAACTAGCGCAGGCGTATAGCTTTGCCCGTAAGATGTCTGTGTCCCAGCCGAGTGCAGGCAACGAGTAGGTTGGTAGCCAGAAAAATCCAGCCCACCATGAATCAAAAACAACTGATTTTGAATGCGCTGCAAACTTTGTGAACGGAGATGCCGCTAGCTCGTGGCCAGAGGCGTCAAATAAGAGGTTCGGAAAATAAAAACCCTGCCACAGTTTGGCTTTTGCCACCGGTGCTTCAAAACCCTGGAGTGCTCTTTAAGAAGCATCCGTGGCGAAAGCCAAACTGTGGCTAAGACTTTACTGGATCTGGATTTGGACTTGGCAATCCAGCCTTTCAAAAACTCGCCATCAAACTTGAAAAAGCACACCGAAGTAAGATGACTCCATGAATCACACGTTAATGCTCAGGAGTACACATGGCTCTTAAATGTAATTTGCATTGTAGTCCTCTTAAATGCGTTAATTTGTAATGGCCATATACACAAGTGAAACAAGTAGAAGTTTTAGTCATGATGGCCTTTATTTATTAATTTTTTTGTGAACCCCAATGTGCAGGCACTGAGCCGGTGGGGCAATGAGTATGCCCACACCTGCTCTGCACCTCTCACCGTGGGCAACTCCAGAGTGGAAGAGACTCCAACCCCTCTCGAGAGAATGGTACCAGAACCCAGGCTGTGTGTGGAGGCAAGTCTGACTATATCCAGTCGGAACGCCTCTACTTTGCACACTAGCTCGGGCTCCTTCTCTGCAAGAGAGGTGACATTCCATGAACCTAGAGCTAGCTTCTGTAGCTGAGGATCAGACCGCCAGGGTCCTCGCCTTTGGCTGCCGCCCAGCTCACACTGCACCCGACTCCTTTGGCCCCTCCCATGGGTGGTGAGCCCATGAGAAGGGGGACCCACGTTGTCTCTTTGGGCTGAGCCCGGCCGGGCCCCATGGGTGTAGGCCCGGCCACCAGGCGCTCGCCAACGAGCCCCGCCTCCAGGGCTGGCTCCAGAGGGAGGCCCCGGTGACCAGCATCCAGCAAGGGAAACTTAAGTCCATTTGTTTTGCTACTAAAGTCTATCCTAATATTTCTACTTCTGCTTGAGTAATGAACATGAATACTTTTGACACCTGAAATTTGTTGATGGTCTCTGGTGAAACTGTCGTCGGAATGTAAACTTTTGCAGCATTTGTTGGAGGCACTCGAGTGAAACAACACTAATAAACAACGTGAAGCAAAATTGGACTTTGTTGCTCATTTATGTCAGCAATTATTTCGGTGGTTTCTATGCTTCTCGTACAAAATGTGTATTGTCAGTGAGCACCACTTATGTAAGTCAAACCCACATTAATTTGGCATTTGGCAGTCGTATTAGCATTCTCAGTGAGAACTTGAATTACAGTGTTAATGCCGAACAAAATAGAGTACTCCGAGGTTAGTATGCTTAAACAGATCCTTGGGCGACAGTGAGGAGTCCAAGTTGATTGCATCGAAACAGTTTTAGTCAAAAAAGTTGGATTTCTTGCAGCTGTGCACATCCAACATATTTGATCTTGCTGTGTTGACACAAAGAGAAAGAAAGTACCTCTAAGTAGTCTGGTGTCATCCTGGAAATGATCGCTGGTGAAACCTAAACATAAATATTCAACAGTGAAAAGGTAACGAATACATTTGCAATCAACCCAAGCAACTCCGTGTTGTGGCGTAAACTGCCTGCAACCAAAGGCATGGCAGTTGTGTGCCGATTGGTCTGTTTTGATTCAATATGGGATGGGTAGCATAGAAAAGCAGAGGAGTGTCAAGTACCCTGTACTGAAAATAATCTGGCATCCCTGTTATTTATCTCAAGTATACCGTGATTCAAGTGACTGCAGTAATTCTGAGGATAAGGAGCGAGGAGCAGGAGAGGAGTAGGTGTTTGAAAAGTCAAGTGAAGACAATCTACTTTGGAACTGGAGAATCGAACCATTCTGTCTGTGTATGTTCCTCACTGATGGACACAACAGTTGCTTTTTTACTTTCAGACTTAGCTTGTAGCAGACGTGTGTGACATCATGCCTACTGTGATCACATCTCTGATCAATTGGTGGAAGAAGACTTCAGCTCGCTCCTCCTTCATCTATAACCACTTCAGACAACAAAGTTGTGTCGGAATGGAGACCAAAGATTTTGTTGGTGTGCTTTGTGTTATTGTTAATGTTTATCTCGTGTGTTTTGTTCTTTGTTACAGCTGCAGCTGTTGGGAAATCGCTATAGCGTATAAATACAGTTGGATCGAGTAATTCCTCACTATTTGTGTGGTGTGTGTGTGTGTGTGTGTGGGGGGGGGGGGGTGAGGAAGCGAGCCCTGCCGCGAATAGTAACAAAATGTGACTAATTGCTTTCATAAAATTTATTCTTGCCGAAATTAGTAGTTTAAACCTTAAATATATCAAAACAGTTTAATGTCAATTTTATCAGCATTCTCTTTAAAAACAAATGCCTTACTGATGATTTTGTGAGTAAATAACGAACTAAAAATAATAAATAAAGAACCTAAAGAGCACATGTATGCGGAGACGATTCTCTCCTAACTTCCTCGGCTAAACTTAGCTCCTTCCTTTGCTCCCAAAATATCTCAGTTGAGATGGATCGCTTCAATATCGTTGCTTGAGAGAAGGTTGCCACAAGAGGGTGCCAGAGGCTTGTTTAATAGAAAAACAGTTTCCTGTTAGAGCACACAGGCAAGTTTTCGATGAATAATCAAGGATGGGTTCTGTAAAAAGTATCAGCGGAAAGTTGAATTCCACAATAGGCATGGGAACACTGGAAAGGAATTTTCGTGATTGGATTGCATCCAATGACAGAAAGTTACTAAACTCCTTGCATTTATAAGCCATTTTCTCCATATTAGGGCCACTTCACACTGAGGACATATTCAGAGTCAGAATTTCTGACCTTGGAATGGTGCCCTAGACAAGTACAATTAGTGATGGTGCTGAGCCTGCGACGACAGGTGGATGCAAGTACAATGATGACGCCATCCAAGTCATCGACATGATGAGTCCATCAGACATAAGCGGGTAATGGAGGTGGTGGCGGGGGAGTCCTGAAGGGTTGGGCGCGGCCTGATGGGGGTCTTCCAGAGAAATGTTTCAAAACATGCACATGCACCAAGAGCTTGTGAACTGCGCAGCATGCGGTGAGTAAGAACTGGATTGGGACCATGGATGGGATTGATCATTTGAGGTACAGCTTCCTGCCACTCACATTGCTATGCCAAAATGATGCTTTTTTTTTTTTTTTTGGCAACTCATTTTCCGAATGGAACTTGACCATCATCCTGGCAGTCATATAATTTTGAATTCAGGTAAATCCCCTGGTAAAAAAAGTCCCTCCAAAGTCAAAAGCAATAACAAAGATATTAAGAAAAAAACACCACCTCACATCTCAACCTACATTTGTGCAACTTTATAAATCAACAATGTCCGACAATAAATGTTTTAACTCCGTTGAAACCAGGAGCCCTCCATGGTCTCTATCCATCTGAGCTCATGTCTGACAAAACAACTTGCTGGGCCACTTTTGCTACAGCAAGGTAGCAAAAGAAAACGCCACGGTACCACTGTGCAGACACCGGCGACGCCAAGCCACACAACATTTGACGCATCGTGACGGAGGGAGAGCTTACTTCCTGTGGGGATCAAGTCCCTGTCTGGAATGAAGAGTTTATACCCATAATGCTTCTCCAGCATGTCGGGCAGGATCTCCAGGGCAAAGCGCTCCTCCTCCCGAGTCTCCTGGCTCCACTGGTCGGGGTCTACTTTCGTGTAGGACAGGTAGGCGTCATAGTCTTTGCTCTCTGTAGGCGCAGATGCACATACAAATCTGTCAAGGCCTTTTGTCACAAATCTCTCTCTCTCTCTGCATCATTTGAAAATATATGACTCTTTGGTGCCCCAAAAACACACTCACACATGCCCCTCAAATACAAGCACGCACACACATGTGAGCCATATATATTTTTTTAATGAAAAAAATTGTTAGCCCAATATGAATATTATCACCTTAGTTTTTGTTAAGTGTCACTATCACAACTGTCACAATAGAAATACCATTGTGCTTGTGATAATTGGTGTTTTCATTGAGGTCTGTGTAGATTTTCAATCATCCAGGTCGTGGTGGTCTGCAAGAGTTGAATCAGAGCAACTAGACTCTTATTGTTTGTTGACTTTTTTGTATATTTTTTCTTGTTTTCCAAAGACAAGACTGGCAATTCTGCTAATGGGCTAACAATTACGATATGTTGAATTATGAACCGGGCGGCCCGGTGGCCGACTGGTTCGCGCGTCTGGCTCACAGTGCAGGGGTGCAGGGTTCCATTGTGCCTGCGGCTTTCCTCTGTGGAGTTTGCATGTTCTTCCCGTGCCTGCGTGGGTTTTCTCCGGGTACTTCAGTTTCCTCCCACATTCCCAAAACATGCATGGCAGGTTAATGGAATACTCTAAATTGTCTGTAGGTGTGAGTGTGCCCTGCGATTTTGCTGGCAACCAGTTCAGGGTGTTCTCCGCCTACTGCCCAAAGACAGCTGGGATAGGCCCCATCACCCTCCACGACCCTTGTGAGCATAAAGTGGATCGGAAAATGGATGGATGGATGAATTATGAACCAACAAGCGGCTAATAGCTAGCCTAGAGCACACTTCCAAATGATCAACAGATACGGTATTTTTTGGACTTAATAATGTTCGTGTGGGGAAAAAAATAAGTGGAGCCGAATGACGCTGTCATGGCTTTACTGCGCTGTGTAACCGCAGGGTTTCAATTGAGGATAATATTTCTCGTTTTTTTCTAACCTCTCGGAACAACGAGACAGCTGCTTCAATGAAAGCCATTTTTTTTTTGTGATCATCTCTCTTGTCTTGGACTTCTCTTGTGTAACAATGAAATGCTCACCCGAAAAGACACTTCAGTGGCTGCTTTCAATTTTTGGAGTCAGCTGTGAGAAAAAGGACTGCTGTCTGGACAACTGGGATTTTATTTCCTTCATCTTTTCTTTCTCAGCTCACTTATTAGAAGACGGGCTGATGAGCCTTTGACTATGATAATGCGATACAATTGACATGGCTCCAGTTTTTTCAGCTCCTTGACTCATTTTTACGTCCTTCCTTAAGTGGAATAAAAACGTAAGGCTACCCAGGCAATGCGGTAACTTGCTAAAATGTTGTACTTGCAGCACTTGTACACGCATGCATCCAGCTGACAGACACTCAGTCAGTCCCACGATGAATGCCATAGGTCTTATCTTCCTCATCCACATGCATTTCTCCACAACTTCAAACTTGATCTCAGGGTGCTTGCTCGAAAACTGGTGTGCTTTATTTTTCTGGGTTCATCTGCAGCAAAATATCCACATTTTGGCTGAAAAATCTAAGATGAGTTTGTTGTTTAAAAGACTTGAACGTTTCATATTTCAGACATGGCAGTTCTAACTTGCTTCCTGAAGACTGTTCAGATGGTGCGCCCCACAGCAGCCGCATCAAATCTCTTGTGCACAGGTGTCAAAGTCAAGGCCCGGGGGGCAGATCTGGCCCGCCACATCATTTTCTGTGGCCCGTGAAAGCAAATCAAACATGCTAACTTCCATGATGCTTGCTAAAATATGTACCAAAAATATCTCATATGTAAAAAATAAGAGAGAGATGGTCAGCATTTTCTTGTTGCCAAGCACCTCATTACAGTAACTTCAATGTTATTCTTGACTTCCTGATATGATTTCTGTCATAATGGCCCTCTAGGGGAAACGGTAACTAAAATGTGGCCCGTGACGAAAATGGGTTGCTCTAATGCTACTTCCTGGGGGAGGCCAGCCAATAATAACCCAAAAGCCAACTGCCTGACAAATGTGATAAATTTAGTGCATTCCATTCTGACATTCTACAACAACATAATTTACTTTCCAGATTAATCAAATAGGAATAGCATTGCTACTGTCGAAGTCAGTCTCAAGTATCTCCAGCATAACAGCTGTGCATCCTCAAGAGTTGACTCTGAGGAACTACATCGGACATATAAGTACTGGCACTCGCTGCATTAGAAATGGAGAGGTTTGAGGGTGTGGGGTGCTGTATATGCGAGTGCACCGAGAGCCCGCGGTTACAGAGTGAACTCCTGAACTTGTAGTGGTGAGCGCCAGCTGAGGTGTAGGCGTAATATGTGCCGTGTCTCCAGGCTCCATTAAGTTTGATGGGCGCTAAGCATACTTCAACTCTGAAAGCACACACTACCAATGAAGTATAGGGATTTTTTTAAAATAGTTTTGACTATACTAATTCCATATTTGTTTGAATTGAAGTTAGCGTTACAGCCATCAAATACTTTGGCAATCGGATATCCGAATGAAAAGTCTATTGAATAATTGGTTATTCCGATTCAAATAAAAATACATTTTTGCTTGGTTAAAGAGCAATTACAAAAAAGAAGACAAAAACACATTTCAAACTAATAATGAACAACCAACTGATTTTAATTTTTACATAATCAACATAATTTAAACTGCATAACAACACACTATTTTACAGAGCTCCTAAGGTGACATGGAGAAAAAAAAAGAAATATATTTCTCGTTAGGCCGAGAAACTTTCTCATTCTAATGAGAAAACGTTCTCGTCCGAATGAGAACCATCATTCCCTGCGAGCGCCAGCTTTAGCTATTTCACTTGCGTCACCAAGCTTCCTGTGAAGGGTAGTCGACTTTCATCCTGCTTCCAGTGCAGTGAGACAAACGCAGCAGAAGAGGACCTACACTCTTTCCTCAAAACAGGGACGATACCAAATAATGTCATTGACCAACTAAGAGAAGACAATGTGAGGATAATATTTTGTCATTAGGACGAGAAACATTTCTTTTTTTTGTCCTCCGCATCACTTTAGGGGCTCCGTACTATTTCCCTTCCCACAAACATTTGAGAATTTGCACAAACGTCTCCCTGTATACAGTGATCCCTCGCTACTTCGCGGTTCGTTTATCGCAGGTTCAGTGCATCGCGGATTTTTTCAAACAAAAAAGCTAAAAAAAAGCTTTTTTTTTTAAAATATACATGGAGTACAGTACTGTATATGTTGCTCTATGTGACTCGCTGTTGTTTTGCAGCTTCTTGTGGACCGTTTGCGGACTTAAAAAAACAAAACGTTTTTTTTTTTTACCTGTTTATGTTAATTGGACGCGACTTCGCAGATTTTCGTTTATCGCGGGTGGTTTTGATCCCCATTAACCGCGATAAATGAGGGATTACTGTATTTTGCTTGATGAAACGAACTGATGTCAGAAACATAATTGCAATTTTGCCGGCTAGAACAACACACTTTAGTAAATCTGGTTTGTTAAAAAGTGATCAGTTGAAACGGCAACTGCATCAGGCTGTCAGCATCAATGTGTGCCGAGTCATTTACGCCTATTAAACTGCCTTTGAAAAGTCACCCGACGGCTCTCGCAAGCCCTTGAGCGCTGCTAACGCTGGAGCTGCTATTGCTCAACCCTGGCAGCAGGGGCAATACAATACAGTGTCACCGTAATTAAGTCGTTTTCTTAGCATCCTCAATTAGCGATTAAATGTTTCCGTCCTAACTGAAATTTAATCCTTGATGCCACTCTTTTGTAAAAGGTGTTTTGTTGCCTCGTTTCACAAAAGTTTCCTGTGAATGTTTGATTGACATTCATCTCAGGTCACACGATTACCCACAACACTATGGGGTCAAAGTGAGCATTCAGACTGTCATCCAAAAGGTCAATTGTTTGCCACTGCAATCGACAGACACTGTCAATGACACAATGTGTTGAAAAATAATTTCCAATGACAACCTTTCTCTTGAGGGCTGTGGCTGCACACAAGCTGTCACTATTGAGATTTTCACAGTGACACCACCTTTGCCAAACCCATGCCTGATGGTCTGTGCCTCTTTTGCCTGACTGTGTTTATCGCTTCCTCCAAGTGTGAAAAATGTATGAGCTGAACCATGTATCGCGTAGTGGGAACAAAGGGCAAAAACGCAGCAGACAGGCCTCATCAAACCTATGTTGCCATTGAGGAAAGTGCGAAAAAAATGACTGCTCATCAACTATTTACTCTGGAACTATTTCTCAGTGTGCTGAGAAATAGTTCGCTTGGATGCAGCGAGGATACAAATGCAGGTCCTGTGGAAGTAGCCTTACAAAAATTCCTCTTTACCTCCATCTAGATCCTCACTGCCGAAGTGGTTCCTGTAGAAGAGCATGAGTTCAATCCTGTAACACTTGTACAGAGTCACCAGGCAGATGAGCAGGATCAGGATGGCCCCCAGACCGCCGGCCAGTTCCACGGTGTACATGAGTTCAGCTGTGAAGGCAAATGCAGAGAGACAAAGCCATTTAGGGTTCGTTACCTGAAAACAACCTAAGCATTGATCATGATCTTGTGAGCACATTCGGTGTAATTTTGATTTTTGAACAAACACAATAAGAATGCGATATAAATATCGATGTTGGAGGGAATGGTAAGCTATTTTAGAGTGATATACTAATAAGGGTAAAATTTTCATTCAAATGCCGCAAACTAAAGTAGGCTGTTTCCATTTGTTTCTGTCACGGTGAACAAAAAGCAACGTATGCAGTGGAGCCGGCTGAGTGAAAGATCAAACTCGAATAGGGGTACCCATTTTGTCGATCGTGAACTACCAGGAGCTTGCAAAGGGGAAGTCGGTCAACTCAACCACTGTCTGATGCTATTGATACAGCTGCCTGTCAATGGCATTGAATGAGTTAAAAATTAAATCAGTTCAAAAAAATAGAGTAGACTTCCTCTTGTCATCCATTGATGTGAAATTTATCATTTGATTGACATATGAGCCAGTCTCATATGCGTTGTATGACCGTACAAGGACACAGTTTTCCATTTTTACTTTAAACTTAATAATACAGTATAAATATAATTTGCCGAACAAGTAAGCCAAGTATTTCAATACAGAGTGACAAGAAGAGTTTGTTTTTTGGTTTTTTTTAATGGTCAGCTCTGTGGTGGGGCGTCTCAGACTTCCTGCGGAGTGGGCGGGCCTAGGGGAAGTGGGCGATATATTCGGGCACACGTTTGCGGTTTGTCCGGCGTTGGAGAAAGGCCCGCGGGACACAGAAGTTGCCCACCCGAACACCACCGCAAGGTCTGAGGCCCTCCAGTGGCTGGTGTGGTGGTGTGGGACATCCGGCTGACGCCGTCACGGCCCGGTTTGCCCGGGGAGCTTGCTGTCTTGCAAAAGGAAGGAACTGTGGAGTTGCATTTTTGGGCTATTGATAAAAAAAAAAAAAAAAAAAAAAAAAAAAGCCCAAGTACCGTTCCAACATGACTAATGCCCGTTGGAAGGTGTGCACATGGCTTGCGATCCGGAGCTCCTGTCCAGACTCCATCCATTCAGGGCAAGTCATGAAAGTACAGTGAGGACAGAAAATGTACACAAGTTGTACTGTGCAACATAGCTCATGCAGTTATGCAAGGTACCTTTGTACATCAATAAAAATTGTAGCTATAAATAATTCTAAGTCTATTTGTAAATAAACAAGTGAATTAATAAAGTAGATACTGGTACATCATTTGCACGTGGCCATTTGATAAGTATCTTGCATGTTGAAAAAGTGTGGACACCTCTGCCCTAGCAGATCAACGGGTGGGAGTGAGGCTTAGCCTCAAGTAAAACAAGTCTGATCTCCAGTACCTGAATGCCTCCTGGCCCACGACACATCACACTGAGACAAATACTGTACAGCGAGGCCGGAAAACAAAGGCTCTCATTGACATGCCAGTGAAGTTCACTGCTGTGTGCTTCAGTGTGTGTGTGTGTGTGTGTGTGTGTGTGTGTGTGTGTGTGTGTGTGTGTGTGTTCTTCTAAGGTGAAATGATGCTCCAGGCAGCTCAATCTCCCTGCATCCCTCGTGAAGCTGCAGGCAAGAGATTGTTGTGTACATTTGTCTTGGCAAGATCTTTCAAAGTCTGCTCACCCCGCCTTCACTTCTCATTGCAAAGCATCCTGAACTAATTCAGTTCTCGGACGAGGAAAAGTGGAATGCTGACTCTGAGCGCTTACTCTGAAGTTCTTCTGCTCCTACTCCTGGGACTACTTACTGCATGCCTCCTCATATCACCAGACAGTAAGGGGAGCCAGTGGCCCCCTTAAAAAAGTGTGTGAGGCCAATAGCTTGCCTAGCATCCACACTACCACAAAAACAGATGAGCTCCTTACAAGAAGCAGGCCAAATAGAGTGAAATTGCAGAGGCCGCCACTTGGATCCTTCTGGTTTTGTGCATATGTCACTCTCAGAGGAGAGAAAGGCCTTGATCAGACTGCCAAGCACAATCAAATTTTCGCCCATCTAGATTCAAACTGGATGGCTCTTTGGTAGTCTGAACAGTTACAAAGCACACAAAATCAGATTTTTGCGAAATGGATTGAAGCCACATTTGGACGGTACTTTCATATCTGATTTGGACATGATGCATCCCAGTCTGAACAGCTCCAAACACACCAATTGCTTTTCAGTCGTTTACTGTCGTTACTCTGCGCGACACATGACCCGATATGCACCACAGCAGAGAGTAGCAGTGTTTAAAAAAAGCAAAAAAAAAACAATGGAGCACATCAAAGAAATTGAAAACAGCAGCCCCTGGACACAAGAGGAAACGTATTGCCTTATCGGTCTGTCTGGAAATAGCGCCGAACCAGCAAACCTCGAGGACTTGTCTGGAAACAAGTCCATTTATGAAAGTAGTTGCCGCTGTCGCAATTATATGATGTCAAACACTACACATGCTTGACGATGCTTCTGTTTTGCTGTTGCTTGCTCCAGCAAACCTGCCAGATGGTTTAAGAATGTGAACGAGGCCAAATCCTATTTTGACACTTGCTAAAAACAGTGTGGACAGTCAGCCCTAAAAATCGTATTTGAGGAGGAATCTGATTTGAATCAGATGCGCCTGCAGTCTGAACGCAGTTTAAGTGGCTTGAACGCCGAATGTGCGCGGAACAGAGATCAGTGGCAGATGCTGGTCTGTCAAGGAGGGGAAGCTCAATTTTGGCCGACATCATAAAATGTGTCAGTTTATATAAACGTGAATTCTACTCTCCGTTCCTTTTCAAGAATATTATCTGTAACCCTGTCATACCACCAAGGCGTCTTTTCCAGGAACTTAACTAGTGTCCTACACCTACAGCAACTACAATAAAACCCACCAGTAACAAAAGATTAATTCGTCGCTTATTGTTTTCAACAGAGTGTCGCTAAGATGATTAGAAGTCGTCTCCAGTTCAATTTAGAACAGAATGAGAATTGAAAGTGCTACCACAGATGCCTACACTAAAAGATCAGTGATTGGCTCATTTCGATGTCAATCAAAATGGAACACAGGCTCAGACAGATCATCGAATCTGATGCAGAAAAACTGAGCGTCCGGTACCCGCCCACTGCCATCCAGTCCCAGAGACGCCGAGGGTCCGTGGGCGGGACAAAAACCAGCTTGTATCCAATGACTCGTCTCCGTTCAACGCATTGGGACAACCTACCCTGAACTCTCGAGACGCTCGGCGTCCGGGCAGTCGACGCTGAGCGGATGCTCAGCGTCCACCGTTTAAAGCACAGCGAAGCTGCGGGAATGAATGAGAAGGGAGTCGCGTCGTAACCAGTAAGAAGAAGCTGATTCGGAACAAAAGTTGAGCATGTTGTAGCGCATATTTAGTCAATGACATGTACACACAATGAAATTTACATTCATATATTTGATCACTTATTCTTTGACATTTTAGGGGAAGCTGAGCTTCCCTTGCAGTCCGAGAGCAATCGCCACTGACAGAGATGCATGCGTACTGTCTGCAATTTACAGTTACACTCAAGTCTCATCCACAGTCAACAGTAGAGAGCTGGGGTGTGAAAAAAAGGGAAGGTTCCTTCCTCAAAAAACAAAAAGCGGCTTATTCTGCGTACCAAAACAAACAAACAAAAAAAGACATTACAAGGTAGGAGAGCCACTCTCTCGCCTGCCTGAGGAAAAGATCTTTATTGTTTTTTTTCCCTTCTTAGAGTCAATAGAGTGGAACTTAGAGCAGGGGTCGGCAACCCAAAATGTTGAAAGAGCCATATTGGACCAAAAAAACAAAAAACAAATGTGTCGCAACAAATGAAAAGCCTTTGAAAGAAGGCAACGCACGCTGTATGTATCTATATTAGCTATATTAGCCTACTATCAAAATGAGCCTTCCTGATTAAACGTTTTTTTTTCCCTGCGGTGCAACCTTTTTTGACCAAAGCTCTATTTTTCGATCAACCAGCCTCCCGCGATCAACCCGTGACCGCACACGCACACACTTCCACAAGCATGCCATAATGAGCAACAGCCATAACAGCCCCTGAGATGAACGAGGCATGCGACGGACTTTTGCAGCGTGTTAACTTTCGTAACTGACGTGTACCGTTTTAAAATGCTTCTCTCGGTCCATCAGATTGCCATTCTTTGCCAGTTCCCTCGGTGAATTGGACTTGAAACGCCGTTCCTTCTTAGAACAGCCACCTGCCTGGCATCCCGCCCTACTCATAGAAAAGTGTGTCGCAGGCTATGACGCAAATCTTCGTTGACAGAAATGTTAAAATGTAATATTTATTTGACACATTTTTACAGCATTGGAAAATGTTCATACTCCTACGGAAACCAATTTCAAACAAAAAAAATATTTTCACTCCCTCATCTTTTTCCATTGTCCCCAAAATTTTTAAAGCTCCATGGAGCCACTAGGGGGGGCTCAAGAGCCGCATGCGACTCGGGAGCCGCGGGTTGCCGACCCCTGACTTAGAGTCAAAGCTCTGACTAAAGCGTAGAGCTTGACTGAATAGAAATGCTGTTGAGCTAATTTATATATAAATATTATAATATATATAAATAAGAATCATAAAATACAGCGGAGTCAGCATCAATTTCATGATGTTTGTTTGGCCTCATTTTTGTTGACACTTCAATTTTTTTTCAACAGTAATATTAAACATCACATGACATTATTTATTCAGCGCACATGTAATGTTCCATAAAGTGCAACATTCTCTTGTGGGTTTAATGCTTGGGAGATGAGTCGCTCAGCATAGCAACTAAATGGTGCTTAATTTTCGAGATGATGTGTGACGTTATGCATGACAGTGGTTCAAACACCGGCCGGGTTTGTGCGCAAATTTCAAAGTGTATTTTTCAAACTGCGTATTGAACAATTATTCGGGGGGGGGGGCAACTATAGATTACACTTTAAAATAATAACCTTGACATAAAAGTGCTGTTCAGCATAATTCGAAGTACCACTGCTTGTCAGAATGCAAGGTTTGCTTTCAAAATGAGGGAAACGATTAAAAGAGGAGTCAGAAATGAAATACTGAATGATCAAAGGTGGAATCGAGCATCACAAGAGGTCACTGCTTATCAGTGGAGCGGCTTTTCTGGCACTATGTCTTAATCTAGCTTGTCTCTCCCCGACGCGAGAAACGAGCAGTCAAAATTCATTGTGCTTGCTCAATTCTTGCAAGACATTCTGTTGTCAGAGTGAAGGCCACCTCGAATGCCTCACACACATCACAACTTTGAATCAAGGCCCTTAAATTCCACTGTCTGGATTCGCCGCATTCAAAAAGCGCTACCTTTCTTGACGATCTGGATGTTTGCCTGTCGTCGACCATTGCCATTTTCCACGTAGCAGGTGTAGTTTCCCAGGTCGCTCTCCTCCAGGGAGTCGATGGTAAGCGAGATAGAGACCTCTTGCTCGCCCAAGTGCTCATGTATTGTCCTGAAGCAGAGCAGAGAGCCCGATGTAAGGTCGGATAAATTAAGGCCTCTGAAAATCAGGTAAAGTCAAAACAAGTTCATTCCTGATGTGAATGCAACAATTCTGCCGGATTGTGCTTGAAATCAAGCGCGGCAGATGAATCAACAATCGACGCATCTTTGCTGCGCATGACAGAAAGATCAAAGTGCAACACAACCACATTCATGAATACATTTTTTTTTTTTTGCGCAAAATAAAAAGTTCTTGTTCAGAGATACAGTATTTATTTCCCACAGCGATGGGCATTTCAAAGCGGCTTCTTATTGTTGTCGGTGATAAGATGTAAACATAGAAGTCTTTGTACATCTGATAATGTGCCTTTTATACTCAAAACTGTACTGTGAATATTGTTGCTCAAGAACAATTCTGAAATACCAGAAACACCTTTGGAAAACAATCAGTCCGCACTGTTGGGGTTCAGAAAGTCACAAGCACAGTGTTGCGTCTCTAATAAGATATAGATTTTCCTCATGCCCAAAAATGTCTTCCTTGAGAAAATGTGTGCACATCCGAAAATCAATAAATTGTGACCTGAGAATTAGTCTTAGACTGGTTGGGGAGAGATCTTGTGATGACAAGATTTTCTAGAACTATTTTCAAAACTCTGCATTAGCTGTTTATACCTGATATTCAATGTCTAACAATTAGATGAACTGTAAGATGGGGAACGCCGATGACACGAAATGGACAAAATTTCATACCTCGATATTCATGCCGGATCTCAATCATGACACAATATTACGATGGGTTCAGTGAAGACAGACTATTTTTTTTTTTTTTAAAAGAGCACAATATCAATCCATGACGATGTAGGAAGTGCAGTTTTTAATTAGAAGTGACTGACAGTCATCAACATTAACCAAGTCAGTAATTAATTTTAAAAAAGAAATTCACATGTTATTGCAACTGTGCTTTAATGATGAATAATTTCATGCTAAGCAGAAGTATTTGTTTGTGTGTGTGTGTGTGTGTGTGTGTGTGTGTGTGTGTGTGTGTGTGTGTGTGTGTGTTCTTCTAAGTTCTTCTAAGTGTTTTAACTACATCAGTTTATATGTGTTTATATGCTAATTTGTCCATGCATGTCTGGCTGGACGCATTATGTAGTTTTAGTGCTAAGGCCTGGCGCATAGGGTACGATGCTTCCAAAACCGAGTTGGAACGGACCGTCACAAAAAATAATAGTTGACCGCCGCACACTGGGCGATGTAAACTGTGCCAGCCTGTATCACGTTTTGAGGCTTGCCATACGATATATTGAATTATAAAACTTTTTTTCAATCCGCAAAAAGATAACGTCAACCAAGTAACACACGGGTTGCTGCAGAAATACGATATGGGCTATAATCATGAGGAAAGTGTGGCTATATTTAAAGGCAAGACTTGCTCCCAATTGAATGGACGGGCAAAGCGTGGATTGATTGTACGTTTTTATCACAAGCTTTGCCGTATTATCCGCTGGTACATGTGAAAATATAAATAAGGTTAAGTATTGTTGTAAAACACAATGCACTGTATGTGTAACATATACTGTATACGAGATATCTTTTGGCTTGATGCGCATGGCAGTGCCTCCCTCGCTTGCGAGACGGAATCTTTTTACTCTGCCCTTCATCAGATGATTGTTATTGGCTAGCTTTATCTGTCTTTCAATGTCAAACTTGATAGGAGGTATGTGACTGGTTGGCAGCGCGAGTGTGGAAAGTCCACATGGCTGGTATTGTCTTAATCTTCAATATTAATACCTTGAATGTTCATATCTAGATATCGATACGATAGAAAAACATCATCCAGCTCTAGATGCTACTGAAAAACGCCAAGAGGACATGATGTCTAAACCCTTAACATTGTGGAGTAATCCTGCGAGTTGCTTGCTCACTAACTGCTTCGCAATAATCTGTGGTCGGTTTTGATGTTTTCCAAGACAGCAAAAACCTTTCAAGACAAGAAGACAAGAAAGCAATCCAAACTTTTGTTTTTCTTGAATCCAGTCAAAGAAACTAATTTGGTGTGTCCATCCTTGCTTTGTGTAATGATGTGTAGGCGGATCAGTAAATGAAAAAAAAAATCTCCAAGCTGTTGGCAGTTGTCGAGAAAGGTACCACTGTCAAAGCCAATTGCCAGAATTTCCTCTGCTTACAAGTCAGCCATGCTTGTAGTTCTTTTCTGCAATGGACCTTGGGACTCAATTTAAGGGGCAATACAACCACTACACTCTTTGGCACGTTGTACCTGGGCTGCAATGATCACTGATAAAATTGACACGACGAAAGTTCAGCTGCAGCTACTTAAAAAGTGTGGCCGTGAGTTTGAGACCCCTGCTGTAGACTCAAATTGGCCCAGTGTCTTTCATGAGAATAGAGTTGTGCTGAGAGCATGCTAGCACGCGGAGAGACATCTGCAAATGCCAAGTCACCGACTAGGACACCAACTCCTCCTCCCAGCCTTGTCATACTGCTCAGAGTTAACCTTTTCATTTGGCAGCATTTGTCTAAGATAGTGCATTCCAACTTTACATGGACCACTCTGTTTCCCTTTTCACTGCTTTATCAGGTTGAAAATGAAATTAAGGGAGTCCTCCATGGAAACGTCTCCAACTAAGCTGCTGTTCTCACAAACGAAATGTCAGAGTCTGTGTCATTTCATTTGCTTCTTTTCCCGATGTTTCCAACTTGTTTGCTCTCCACTCACTAACTCCTATTTCAGTCAATCATCTGTCTCATGGAACGTACCAAGCTGTACATGCCATTTCATTGTGTTACTTTATGAAGACTTGGCACGAAAGGACTTACTTGATGTCACTCTCCCGTACCCGCTCCTCATCCAGATCCTCAATAAACTTCTCCGCCTTCATCCAGTAAATGAGTGGGCTGACATCACCACTGTACCCAAAGAACGCTCTGCACGTCAGGTTGACGGGACTTCCTGTGGGACGACAGGGGACAGGAGAATCGTTGATAGTTTGAATTTTTTATTCTCCAACGCATTCAGGATGGAAGAGCCCCGATGAGGCATGCAGCACTGCCTCATTCGTCCTGTTCCGTTCTAATTCGACACATGAGGCCTTTTTACACTAGAGCCAAGGCCCATCCTGCTTTTGGAGAGCATTCCACGATCCCCCCCAGCGGAAACATCATCCCGTTTTGGCCTTAGGGGGGCAGATAAGAGCAGACTTAAAATCATCTCCAAAATATAGTTCCGACTGGCCCAGGCTTGTCCTGAATCCCTTCTTTCAGTAAGGTTGCCATTTACCTCGAGTGCCAGGGCATTTCACATGACGCGATCTTCTATCCTCATTGATAGAGGCGTGAATATTAATAAAATTTTCCAATTAACTTTTTAAACCTGCATACGTTGAAACATTCAGATCGGTACTCAGAAATGCCCCGCTCAAGTGTACACCCTCATCATGAAGAAAATACAATGTAATGCCTTTGATGCAGCTTTTAAATTGAAGGCACTCGACCAATGAAACACCAGAATGCCAAGATTCTCAACCTGTTTTTGTTTTCATATTTTGTTGAGGCGTGAGCAGTATTTCTGCTTCTGTGGTATTTGGTGCTGTTTCCACATGGGTTTATCACTGACAGTAGGCTGGCTGGTTTTCTTTTCCGTCTATTCTGCTCTCCCAGAATGTGCAGGGTTTCGTTCAGCAGATAGTCTCCAAATAAGAAGCCAAGTGACCTTGATTCAAGCTGTTGATTTGGGCAAATATTAATTCAAAATACCTCCAACACAGCTTTGCTACCAATGACAATGGGAAATGCCATAGAAGGGCTAACAGATACTTGCACGGGTATATGAGTTTTGAATTGGCATGCATGCTGCAGGGGGTGGCTCACTCTTTTACAATATGTCTTATTTGCCAACAAAGCTCCTTTTCAAAAAGAAGAAAAGAAAAGATTAGTGGGTGCGGATTACATGCACATTTTATGGCACTACACTTTGATTGTATAAAATGGTCTTCGTTTTTAGTAATAGTAGATTATGTTACAAATTGGAGTTATTTTACCCATTATTCAAAGATTATTGTGTTATACATGAGTAATCCATCCATCCATTCATTTTTCGTTCCACTTCATCCTCACAACGGTCACGGGGGGTGTGGTGGCTCTCCCAGCTGTCTTCGGGCAGTAGGTGGGGGACACCCTGAACCGGTTGCCAGCCAATCGTAGGGCACACACAGACGGACAACCATCCACGCTCACACTCACGCCTAGGGAAAATACAGACAAGAGTGTTCCATTAACCTGTCATGCATGTTTTTGGAATGTGGGAGGAAACCGGAGTACCCGGAGAAAACGCATGCCGCACGGGGAGAACATGAAAACGCCACACAGGAATCGAACCCTGCACCTCTGCACTGTGAGGCCGACGCGCTAACCCGTCGACCACTTTGCTGCCCGGTTCATAATTCAACATATCGTAATTGTTAGCCCATTAGCAGGATTGTCAATCTTGTCTTTGGAAAACAAGAACAAATATACAACAAAGTCATCAAACAATAAGAGTCCAGTTGCTCTGATTCAACTCTTGCGGACAACCACGACCTGGATGATTAAGAATCTACACAGACGTAAATGCAAACTCCACACTGGAAGGCAAGAGCCAGGATCGAACCCACGACCACTGCACTTTGAGGTCAATGCGCTAACCACTCGATCACCGGGCCACCCTACGTTATTTATATCATATTTAATAATAAGCATATTGCCATGTATTCAAATGTTAGCAGCAGTCGCTTTGAAGAGAAATGTACAACTTGGATGAGCTTGTTGTGAAAGCATGTGAGACTCCTGACCACAACCCAATCAAACACCTCTGAGACAAACTTGAACACAGATGATGGCACAGACCTCCAGAATACTGAGTAAACAGCAACATATTTGGAAAAATATTCATATTCATCACATACTGGTCTGATGGTATGAGAACCTTGCAGTGTGACACATGAGAAGTGGACAAAAAAACAAAAACAAAAATCAGGACATCCATAAAGAAGCTGCAGCAGGGATGCCCAAGCAAGCACTGCTGGGCACACATCCAACAGTATAAAAAGAAATTTCAGCTGGTCTTTGTATGCAATTCCGGATCCTTGACCCTGTGGCGAAGATTCAGGCGGCTGTGACATTGTAGATAACGGTCGTGTATAATTGGTTACTTGCTACTTGGGAGATGATAAGGACTTTTATTTTACCTCTTAAGAGCAATCCAGTTGAAAAGCAGGTTTGAAGATTCACCAGAGGCAGAGCTGGGGAAATCTCTTTCTCCGTGGATTTAGCACAAATACTTGGCTTGTACTGTACATTTAAAACTGCATCTGGGTCTTTTCCACCCAAGAGTGTGGACAAGTTGGCATTTCTTAAAAAGTCCACTGGGGGGCTCTAAGGCTCTACTTAGCAAACAATGCATAAAATGAAGATAAAACAAAGTGAATTTCTTAAAAAGTCCACTGGGGGGCTCTAAGGCTCTCCTTAGCAAACAATGCATAAAAAGAAGATAAAACAAAGTGAACATGCAGACAAGCAGATCCTTTTATGGGACAAGGAATTGACCGCTTATTGTGTTGCTGTACCCACAAGGTCACTCCACTGGGAGCCTACACAGCACGTGCGGCCTGTGCTTACCGTATATATGCACACGTGGCAAAGGCAGAACCATGAGGTTTGTTGGAATTGAATTACACATAGAGCTGAGACCTCTGTGGCAAAGCAGATAAATCACTGGCGTGAAAAAAATAAAATGAATCACAAAGACTAATGAGAGCCTTCTTTCTGCTTGGGTGCACGAGACTGCACGTTGACGTACTTACAAGAAGAACACACACACAAGCGGAGTTTGTCTATCGGTTCAAACCATCAGTAGAAAAGTAGGAAGACGGCCCTGAAAAAAAGGGGGCCATGGAGTGAACAGGAATAACACTTATGAAGCGGGATTTCTTTTTTTTGAGAAGCTCAACAGTAATGAGGTCACATGCAGCTCCTTGCCTCATGTTTTTGACAAGGCAGGAAGCAATTAAAGATAGAAACGCTGCATATAAGAACAGCACAGTAATTGTGAGCTGGAGTCTGACACCTTCGGTGGGGGCTGAGGGGACTCTAGAATCTGGAATCGAGACGATATGTAGGCATGTATTAAAGATAGATCATTGCAGGAATCTGCATAGCATTAAGGTGCTGATAGTGGATCTCATTTGATCGCGTTGGACTGAGATCACTGAAGGCACGGAGCCTCTCACTATCACAGAGAAATTCCTGAAAGCACGGCAAGGACCCGAATGCCGAGGAGGACCAGAGACATCGAAGGTTTATAGCCGCTAATTGCCAGGGCTGGGAGCCCTCGCTTGTCAGCAGATGTCCCATTTTAATTGATACCCCGAACAGAACTTCGCTGAGTTCTTCATTAAAACTTACACCTCTGCAATCACATTTTCGATTGCCTCAGTCAGACTCGTGTAGTCACACTGTGGCAGGAGACCTCATTGCCAGCTGAGCGGACACACACATTATTCAGCATGTTCACATATGGCAAACATCAAAGTCAAATGTGTTGCATGGCATGTAAAATTCCAATTGCTCTGCTTTTCTGATGGTCCGTTTTGCCAAGAGTGAGATGTCTGCCAATAAATATTCTATCATTGTTGAATAATCCATGACGAATAGACAAATAAGCGGAATAACAAATACAATGGCGGAACAGTGGATGACATTTGTAAAGATTAAGAGCTGCTGTGTTCGCATGACGCACAGAGTATGTTGACAAGATGGTATGTAGAACAAAAGCGCCGCTATCGCGGAGACCCATCCGGCACAGTCGTTAACTATTCAGTGAGTCTGGGAGAAAACGCATGCCGCACGGGGAGAACATGAAAACGCCACACAGGAATCGAACCCTGCACCTCTGCACTGTGAGGCCGACGCGCTAACCCGTCGACCACTTTGCTGCTCGGTTCATAATTCAACATATCGTAATTGTTAGCCCATTAGCAGGATTGTCAATCTTGTCTTTGGAAAACAAGAACAAATATACAACAAAGTCATCAAACAATAAGAGTCCAGTTGCTCTGATTCAACTCTTGCGGACAACCACGACCTGGATGATTAAGAATCTACACAGACGTAAATGCAAACTCCACACTGGAAGGCAAGAGCCAGGATCGAACCCACGACCACTGCACTTTGAGGTCAATGCGCAAACGACTCGATCACCGGGCCACCCTACGTTATTTATATCATATTTAATAATAAGCATATTGCCATGTATTCAAATGTTAGCAGCAGTCGCTTTGAAGAGAAATGTACAACTTGGATGAGCTTGTTGTGAAAGCATGTGAGACTCCTGACCACAACCCAATCAAACACCTCTGAGACAAACTTGAACACAGATGATGGCACAGACCTCCAGAATACTGAGTAAACAGCAACATATTTGGAAAAATATTCATATTCATCACATACTGGTCTGATGGTATGAGAACCTTGCAGTGTGACACATGAGAAGTGGACAAAAAAACAAAAACAAAAATCAGGACATCCATAAAGAAGCTGCAGCAGGGATGCCCAAGGAAGCACTGCTGGGCACACATCCAACAGTATAAAAAGAAATTTCAGCTGGTCTTTGTATGCAATTCCGGATCCTTGACCCTGTGGCGAAGATTCAGGCGGCTGTGACATTGTAGATAACGGTCGTGTATAATTGGTTACTTGCTACTTGGGAGATGATAAGGACTTTTATTTTACCTCTTAAGAGCAATCCAGTTGAAAAGCAGGTTTGAAGATTCACCAGAGGCAGAGCTGGGGAAATCTCTTTCTCCGTGGATTTAGCACAAATACTTGGCTTGTACTGTACATTTAAAACTGCATCTGGGTCTTTTCCACCCAAGAGTGTGGACAAGTTGGCATTTCTTAAAAAGTCCACTGGGGGGC